AAAAGTAATATCCACTGCACAGAGAGAGCACTTACTAATGGATAGAGCACAGCCATAACCCCGTAGCTGACAAGGGGAGAGTAAAAGAATACGGCCAGAACACATGGGCTTCCTTAAAGACATAAGGAGCAGCATTTTATCAACTCAACTGAATAAATTCATTATAAAATAGTAAAAGATCAAGACATCTCTTCTAATTAAATTCTTACCAAATCCCGCAAAAAATGGCCAGTTTGACTCGAAGAAATCCAATCTTTTGTCCAAACTCAAACCTGAATAATTCCATTTGTACCTGATAAATGATGAGAACAAGGGCAGAGATCATTTTCCCAGACACTGGAGCATTAAGCACAATTAGCAAAAATGAATTATGTAATCAGTGCTTACTCAAAGCAATAATAAGCATACATCCAGGAAAGGAGCAAAAAGTTTAATGCCTTGCCAATGTGGGGGATGAACCCGGTTATATACACCTTCAAAAATCACAAAATAATTACTATCTAGTCCATATGAAGCCGGCATAAGCAGTTCTTGATACAAACTACGCGTCAGTATATGGTTTCTTTACCTCCAGGAAGAAGAAACTCAATAGGAGAACTGAGTACACTTGTTCTGCTATCCCAATCATTACACTGCACATAGAAAAGAATGCAGTGGTGAAATTTGCTTGGAATTCCAAAACCTTGGGAGAGTACATAAANGAAAAAAAAAAAAAAAAAAAAAAAGACACAGACACAGCAGATGTGATAATTTTGGGACATATACCCCTCAATATCAGTAGCCTTATCATTGGCAGTAGTATCCTTTTGGCCAGATGGTTCTAAACCAGAAGGCCCATGCTTCTCGATTGCGAAAAAACCATACTTTGCGATGTCGTTATACCTGGATCAAAGGTAAAACAGAGACTGCATAAATTATATCTAAGAAGCCTTTCAATGGAACAACTAGATAATTTACAGTTGCATCCTTTAGGTTTTCTCTCAAAGATGTATAATTTTATATAAACATGTAGGATTAAAAATTTGATGAGGTCATGCCCATCAGGCTTAACCAATATTATTTTGTCTACCCTAATTTTCCGTAGAGTTTCAGCATTAGATAAAAGCTGTTGACTAATTAATTAACAATACCAATTCTTGAGTCCCGCAAGATGAGTTTGTAGGCAAGTGAATAACTAGTCAGGAAAGGTTCAACAGTTTCAATGTGCTTAAGTTTGAAAATTCTAGATCCCACGGGCCACACATGTGTAGAAGGCTACAATAAACCATTCTGACTATATTTACATAAAATATAGCATAATCTTACAAGTGTGAATGTGGGATCTGCTTCAAGGCAAATGAAAGTTAAACCAGAAGAATAGAAGAGAAAGGCAAGAAATACCACAGTGTGCTTAGAATAAAGCTGGAGATGTACATGGGATAGAACCAAGATACCTGCAGAATTGATACATTGAAAAGCAAAATGAAAATATTCCTCATTTACAGCACGCAAGACATGAACCTTTGAATGCGTGCATGTGTATGTATATGTCAGAGAAAGAGAGAGATGGACAGACACACACACACAGAGAGAGAGAGAGAGAGAGAGTTCATTGGTACTCTTTAGATCTAAAGGAATATACAAAGAAGAACCTGAAAACTAGTGAAAAACTCCTATTTCTCTATATATTAATTGGAATCTTTATGAACTACTATCTCATCTTTAGTTAGTATGCTTTACATTATCAGGTAATACTACATTATCAGGTAATAATCCAAATTGTCTTCATGATATAAGTATATTGACCTAGTTTACTCGGGAGCGTATATCATAAACCAAGGATTGCGAAACTTACAAGCAGTTGCACCAAATTCGCACTCCTGTTTAGTAAGAACTCTTATACATGATGCAAACTAGTCAATGAGTAAAATCACATAAACCACCATAAATCTTTGAGGAATGAGGATGAACAAACTTTAAACTAATGGAAACAATTAGAAAACTTCAATATTCAGAACTTCTAAAATGCATTTTCTGGACATTGCTATCTTTAGTCCTGCGGACATGCACTTTTAGACAATAACCAGAACCACATGGAATACTAATAGAGTGGTGAAACATTTTGTTATATCCAATTTGTCCACTCAATCAAACCTCAACACAAAATGTATTAATCATCACAAAGGAAAACAAGCACTCACGTAGAAGAGCTGAATCAGTCCAAGTCGTAAGAAGGTATAGAATCTGAAAATACCCCCAAATGGACATGACTCTTGAGAATTTGTAAGCGGGCATTCATCAGGCAACACCCATTGCAGTGTTGGGATGACAAACGATCTCAAAACAAGTATACTGCGTGCAACCAAATCATTCCTAACAGATAAGTTAATTGCTTTTCCAGAAAACATTGTCAGCCCAACTATTAACATATGCTCTAAATCCAACTTAGGTAGAACAATAGAAAAACAACGAACAAATTATGCCCGCAACTTGGCACGGCTAAGCAGCAGACTTATAAGGAAACATTAAAATGAGTTCTTTAGGATTCCACAATAACTGGGATTAGTAATTAATGAGAGGTGAAATAAAGCACTACTTGTACCTCATTGGGATCATAAAATTTTCTACAATAAATGGCCCAAGACGAACAAGATAGACATAAGTGGCTCACTCAACCAGGTGAAGCAATATCAAGAAAGATACAAACTTTACTGTAAATTTCACTTTGGCACGTGCTCCGAATGCACATACAAACATATAAAGAGAAGTAAAGACACATGAATGTACAATGTTAAGAGATTTAAGGGACTAACCTTCCCAGAAAAATGAAGCCATTCAAAAGAAAACACTGCCCAGTACGTATGGCAAGCTCTCTTGACCTTAAATACACATTGAACACACAAAGTCACAAAAACCATATCTATTATTTTGAACACACGCGGAGAGAAAAAGTCAACCTCTGCTCACCCAACCTTAAAACTAATGTTAATTTTGAGATTGCTCAGTAAAATTATGTACCTGAGACAATAGATTATGACGCGATGAAGGCAGCAAGCCTCTCTGAAACCTTCAAGCCACAAAAGTGCTGTATGCTTCAATTTAGTCCTGAAGGTACCCATAAAACTTCGTAACCTCGCAGCATCCATTTAAGTTTGAAGAATTGGTCTTCTGTCCTGGGAAAAAAATAGGACGAAAAAGAAGACCAAGAGCAAAAATAGATACTCTTTTTACTTATTTTTTAATTTATTTTTCTGGGCTTTCGGTACTTTCTTGATATGCTGATTTCTTGATCTTCCGCTGGCATGCGTATTAAATAACTCAACAGATAATTGAAAGTTGAAATATACAGGGACAAAGGCACTTGCACCGGACCGGATGAAATTAATCCAAAACTCCTACGCAGAAAAGGATTTGGTTGTTTGCCAATTCTGAATCTCCGATAGCACATCGGACAAAGCGTGTCCCAGAAAATTGTCTAACGTTTGTGTTCTTTGACAACACTTGATGTAAGATTAGATGACACAATTATCCCCAAGGGGCTGTTTGGATTGAGGAAAATAGAAGGGAGACACCTTTTTTTAATCTATATCTGTATTATATCGGGTTTAATGCACCAAACCCCCTGTATTATACTAAATCTGCGCCTTTTACTCCTCTAATATAAAAATTGCGTCGGAACCCTTTCTATTAACGTTTTGCATGCGCGAATCACCCTAAACCGTCTAAGATGACGGCTGTGGTATGCACGCGCGTGCTGTGCGGCTTTTTCTTCATTTTGTCACCCTAAAGTCGCGAATTTTACTTTTTTACCCTTAAAATCAGCCATTTAATTGCTTGCTTCTTCCCCAAAGTCGATATTCTTCTTCCCCAAATTGCTTCTTCCCACTTCTTCATTTACGCCTTCTTCTTTTTTTTTGTTTTGTTTTTTTCTTTCGCCCAAAAATTGCACAACACATTCACTTGCACAGAATCGGGCGACGCACAGGTATCATCTTCTTCCTTTTTTTTTTTTTTTTTTTTTT